TGTCTGACAAGTTTAATTAAACTCATAGCCTTAAGGCAGACTAGTCAAAATTTCTCCATTGTTCTTTGAATATGTTTTCAAAACATAAATTTCCACGTACAATCAGAAATACTGGAACAAAGTATATGCAGAAACTAATTATATTGAGCAGAGATGAACAGGAGCAATAAGATTACACAGCTTCTTGCTTAATTAGATCCTTGGCAAGATTGAGTTTCAAGGGAGAGAATAATAGAAGAAGACTGGAGATTTTTGAGAAACAAACAGAGGTAATATTAAGTGCTCCATAAAAATAATCGATTCAGATTTTCCTTGCTGTAATGTTGGATAGGGAAGAAGGTAGAACAGCTTTGAGGAGCTGTTGTTTTCTGTCCCATATCAACCAAAATTTAGGCCTCTTCAGCTTACTTATTCCTTAACTGGTGCTGGAGGGTGGAAGCTAAAAATTGTCTGCTTGGGGAGTGGTGTGGAGTTTGGGCACAAGCTGGAGCAAGGCATAAAGCTGATATTCAAAGACAATGAGGGGGAGGAAGAAGAAGAAGTAAACAGGAAAGAGAGACAGGCAGCAGGATAAAAAGCAAGTCTGGTGGAGGACATCTTTCACTGATGCAGCTGACTATTACAATATGAAGTTCTGGAGATGAGCAATGTTATCTGACTCAGGGTGCTGCTGTCAACACATGGAACCAGGAATACCTTGGATTTTACTTCTTCCTCTGAAACTTAACAAAGCAGACTCCTCAATGCAGCTGACTAGGCTTTAGTGGGAATTGCATTCTTTTGCTCTGAATGCTTAAGTGTCCTAGAGGTACCTATCCGGGTAGCTGGCCAGGAGAGACACAATTATTTGATGTTTCATGGAGGGTCTGCTTTAACCCTTTGCCAAAGAAAGAGTCTACTATGCTCTTTGAGACTCCACTAGCAGTTTTCAGGGATATTTCAGGACTGTCTTGTTGCACTATGTTAGGAATGGTGAAAGTACGACACAGACTCCTACCTTTGGTTGCAAAAGAAAGCAAGTTTTATTGTTTCAGATCTTCTTTTATAGACAGTTCCTAGAAGGTCTGAGAAGGTAAACCTTTAATTGGTCAATAAACCAACACAGCACTGTCATTGAAAAATTAGGAACACTGTTTGAGTCTGAGATACAGAGTGTGTGCCCTTGTTTCTGATACTTAACTCTAAGATCCAGAAAAACGTTGAATTTCACATAACATGAAATTCATGATCATGTTTTCATGGTGATACATGAAAACAACTGTTAAAGCTAGATAGAAAAACTAAAAGTGTAAGTGTGTAGATTAGAAAGTTTTCTTAAGTCACTGGGTGAAAAAGTTAGTTTAGAGAACAAGAGACAAGATGGAGGATTTAGGATGTTGTCTCTTGTCCCTTCTTCTTTCCTCTTCATGTTCTTCTCCTAGTGGTTTTTGGGTAATAGTAAGTGATTGGACATAAAAAGCCACAGTGCAGCACAGAGGAGATGGGTCATTAAGAAAAATAATATACGTGTCTAATTCTAATTGGGTAAAAATAGGTATAAAGATAAAAGAGCAGTGCTGTTCAGGGCCATTTTGTGCTATCAAACACAAAGTGAGCCACAAGGCCTTGTTGCACCATCAGAAGAAAGAAATGTACCAGATTGCAAAGAATTAAGCTTGTGCAGTTAGTCTGGAGAGACCTGCCACATTTTGTGATGACCTTCTAATAAACACAAGAAACAAGATTCTAACGAGCTCGGGAGTTTTCTTCAAAACTAAGAGCTGAGATAAGCAGGGCTCCCCACAAGGGAGGATCCAAAAAGAATTCAGTCCAAAGCAGACTGAGAAATCCAGGAAGAGAAATAAAAATACAGACGAAATGCAGCAGAATCAGAGAAAGAGAAAAAAGATTATTTAGAGAAAAGTTACACTACCCCTTGACTGTTTCTTGCAAGTAAAGAACAAGGATCCAAACAACACCTGCAGAGGTTATTTTCCCTCTCAAGGACTGTTTGGATTCCTCTTTATGATTTCTCAGGCTACACTTCTCAGGCCAGTCTGAGAAAGTTCTGTGACTTTATTTCACACAGACACTGCTCCCTGCCTTCTTTCTCGCATTCAGCATCTATACTGTCTGATTTCAGGTGGTGTGGGTTGTTGGCCAAGTTCTGAGCCAGGTCTGAAACTTCAAAACTGGCATGGATACCCTACTGGAAATAGATGTGCCATGTTGTGTAGAGAGATTATTTTTCCAATGTACAATGACTTCCTATCTTGTGGCTACATCACAGTGGTGCATGAGAATTATATCACTCAGGTGTACCAGGACTAAGGAGTCCTTAGTGTTGACTCAAAAAACCTTTCTTTCAGTGTCTTTCACTGATATGTCATTTCAGTGCCCTGTCATATCAGTGTATTTCACTGATATGTATCCAAATTTTGTATCGGCATCTGAAAATGTGTGATGATAGATCTGTCAATTTTCTTTTCTGCTGGTGAGTTCTGCACAATGTTAAAACAAACCCACCTGAAACACTGTTTCCTAAACTGGAGTTACTTGAAGTACTGCAGTGACAAAGTTATTACGCACCCTTAGGCACTTTTTAAAACTCTTAAATGCATGTTTCCCCTTATTTATCAATACATTTGAACAAGCAAATGTTTCTTTTTATTCTGATAGATTCTTATCTGCTCCCTTTTATTTATTACAGGCAAGCCCCTAACACATCAGATGAATTACTTTAGCCATTGCTATTCCCAATTGCTCCTTCAATAGGACACACACTTGTAATAAGTTATTTATTTTGAGAAGCTTTCAGTGTCTTAGAGACAATCTTGTACAGGCACTTCTAATTGTTTTGGCTATATTTTCCACAAAAATGCCGATCCTCTTTTCTAGAAGAGTTTTGGACTATGTCTCTAAATAAAAGATACCTCTCTCTAAGGCCTGGCAGCCTAGCTCATGTACACACAGGTACTGTCCTCTTATCCCAAAACAGTGAGGATTCAGTCCTTGCTAATGGTGCACTTCTCACAGTCCTTCAGACTCTGTTGTGTCTGCCCGACCACTGACTGCCACAGAGCATCCTGTGCCCTGAACAGGAAGACTGGCAGACAGTGTGCACCTCCTGTCATGTCATTTTTCCTGGCATCTTCTTGTGATGCTCCTGTTTCTGGCCTTTGAAACCTGTGTCTGAGCCTGGCCACTGATGCCAGTTCTGTTGGACAACCTCAGACAAGGGTTGTTGAATGTGCTGTTGAATGCCCATGGAGCTGACAGGAACATGCCAAGCCTGGCATGAGCATGTACCCAGGAGGCAGAGGGCTCTGGAGTCTGCTTCCCTCAGGATAGTGTAGCTATGAGCTGCTGATTTGCAGAGCAGACATCCAGCAGAACTGCCTTTTCTGTTCTCGTGGAGGAGACACAGAGGCAATATCTTATTAGTCTCTGAAGACAGTAAATATGTGCTATAAACAGCACTACTGAAGACTCCTCCTCCCCTTCTCCACATCTTTGCTGTACTAATCCAACTATTTTGGTCTTTGTCTAAACAACAGCAAGGACAATGAGACATGCAAATGTACTCCTGACATTGGATAAGGCACCACTGTAAGAAACTTCTCTAGCATTAGTGCCACTAATTGTTCTTTCAGTCAGAACTGATGACACCGTGTAGATGCTGTGGCTGTTCTCTGTTGGGGTACCAAACTCTTGTCAAGGAAGACACTGTGATTCTCCTTGGAGCTCATTCACACAGCTTTATTAGTGAATACAGAGAACATGCTCAGGATGACAGCTTGACTTTGAGAAATGTGAGGAAATTCTACTGAATTGAACATGAAATATGCAGTTAGTTTCTAACAACTGTAAGGTTTTCTGTTTGTTTTGTTTTGTTTTGGTTTTCTTTTTTTACCTTTTCTTAACATTATTAAGGTTAGTGCTAAGTCATCAAATTCTATACTTCTTATATTTCATCTACTTACTCTTTTTCTGTGGCAATTAAATGAAAGCCACCTCTATCTAAGGAATGATTATAATTCATTCACTTCTGTTGTGAATATCACAGGATTTTGTCAGAATTGTTAGATGTCTTAAAATGAGATTGAAAACTCTTTGATCCTGGATACCCAGGACTATGCTTATTCCTAGGTACTTTATCAACTGTATTATGATAGTCCAGGTATTTCAGTGCAGGAAGATTTTTAAGGTTCCTCTTGGCAGAAGTTTAGGATATATAATAAAATAAAGAGTCACTTTGCCCTTCATTTACCCGTCTGTTGTAGGCTGCAAGCAGGGACAGAATACCCAAGTAGAGGTATTAATTTGATTCAAGAAAGCTGGTTTTGTGTTCACAGCTGGGTGGTTCCAGCCCATGAATTTTTTACTGCAATATATTCCTTTCCTGAGTTTGTTATATTAAGGCTACATAGTTTGAGCTGATATTAGAAAGGATTGTCTCTGTGTTCTGCCAGATTTGGATGTGTTAGAATTCTTCTGGATGCAGACATGGCATTTAAATTTTTGTATCAGTTTCTCTCAGCACTAAGGCTCTTCCACTGTCTGGAAAGTGCATGGATTTTCATAGCTCATGGATATTTGCTACTGCAATAAATCAGGGAATAGTCTTCATCTAGTCAGCAACAGTGGCATTATGATATGACATCCATTCTCCAAGTACAAGAAAGGTATCTGCTTCTCTTTCCTCAGAAACAATCAGCTGAAAAAAAAGGTAGCTTTCCTTCAGCTTTGGTTTGGGTGTAGTGCAAAGAAGGAATGCAGTGGAAACAGTGAGATCTGTCATCATTTCCATCATTACTCAGACTGTCTCATCAAGCGGAACTGACAGTCGGCTGAAAATTGCATAGATATGTGGAAGATGCTTCTCAGAATTATATTACCAATTTTGGTCATATATTTAATTTTTTTTTTCCAGCACCAGAAAGGAACAGAGGAAATTCACGGGTACAGGACTAAAAAAAGCCCCAAACTATTTTGCTTTCAGATAAAGAAAATAAATACAGTGGTGACATTTGTAAAGTAAGTAATGAGTCAAACAATTTTCTCATTTTTTATTTAGACGTAATTTCTCTCTGTGATATCTCTAACATTTGTCCTGTCAGGTAGAAAGACAAGATATCCTGAAAGAATTTTCTGATTTTGGTTGCTCCATGTGGTAGGATAAATCTGCTTTGGATCCATAGGAAATCCCCAATTATTTCATAGTCTTCTTTGCATCGTGCTATCTTCAGTGCTTCAGAAAACACATATTCATTGTAATTCTTCTTCATGGGTATGGTTTGTCTTTGCTGTGGTTGCTTGAAATGAACTAATTCTGAGGCCTTTTTGGGATGGGAAAATAATATATTTCTTCTTGTGTTTGATCTCTGTAGCAAAACAGATTAAAAATATTAAAACCTGAGAACTACAGGGACATCCCTATCTTCACTATATTAATAAGAATTGTTCTTGCTGTTAAATTTCCCATAATCAATTAATGGATTTCATGACAGGGACTCTTTATCTCCTCCCCAAAACATAGATCCCACTGCAAGAAAGTGAGTTAAGCTTCAGATTTGACCTTAGAGAAATGTTGCAGAGGATTCTCCAAGAAGAAAAGTCCCAGCTAGAAATATAAGATTCTTAGTTTCAACCCAAATTGAACTAATACAAAGGCTTTTTCAGATTTTTGTTCAAGACTATTTAGTCTACTCCCTGAAATCACATGTCTGCATGTCGTATTTTTTGCTTCTGGTACTTTGGCCATTCAAGACCATTTGCCTGGAGATTTTCATGCCAAACCAGCCCACTTCTTTTCTGTGTCCCTTTGCTTGTCCTTCACAGGATGTAGCCACAGCTCTGCTGCAGAGAGGATGCTCTGCTGACTGTCACTGCTTTCCTACCCCCATGCTCTGCAGAAGAGGTGATTTGCTAGAAGCACATGACGGAACTGGGTTAGGGGAAGTGTGCATTCTGCATAGGAAAACCCAGATCTGAGGGGCTAAGCCTCTCCTTTGGCCTTTCTAATGTGCTTTGTCCATGTCCTTTCAGACAGTGATAGCTCCAGCACCTACAAACATCTTCTTGAATCATGATTTAAAACACATGTCATTTGACTGTGATGGTTGGAGAAAAAAAAAAAAAAGGCAAGCACAAGAAATGTCTTGGGGATCAGAGTGTGAGCCAGAAAAGCATAGGGGTGGGAGGAGAAAGTAAAGTCAGCTGTGCAAGAGAAAACTTGGAGTAAAAAGCAGGCCACCATGATCCCAAATGAAATAGGATTGTAGGTAGCATGCTGCATAATCTATTCATTTTTCATCTACATCCACTAGGATTTCTCTTTGTGGGCTAGGTCAAGTTTTACAGGACTGCACGAGGTCTGCAAAACTGGATGTGTTAGCTTACAAGAGAGCATGAAAGGACTGTCAAGTGCAGAATTCCAGTGCACTCAGTAATTCCTGTGCAGAATGGCTACGGAACAAAAGAAAAAATTCTGCACTGAATTACAAGAAGAGTTGCTGGGTTGGGAATCAGAAAGCAAAAGAAACAGTAGAAATCTCTCACAGAGATTTTCTTGGTGAAAAGTAGAACTTTCTCACAGAAAACTCTGTACATGGGAAATGGTGTATGGTGAATGGAAATGCACAGTGAAGATGTGTTACCACTTTTGCCAAGTTGGATGACTGACCAGATCTGCCACCCTTAACATCCTTCAGAGCTCTTCCTATTTTCTCTCTGACAGGATATAAGCTGGATTCCCAAGCTGTTTGCTTAGGGAAGGATCTGCATTACTACTCACAAGCACAAAAACCACAAGAACTCTACTAAACAGCAATATGTCTTTGGGAACCCTTTTTAACTTCCATCATGCCTATGTCTGTGCTGCTGCCAGAGCTATTGTGGACTCAAGGAACAGGTGGTATTTTTCTTCTAGTATGTTATTAAACTTTTTTAAGCAGTTGCTGTTTTTGGGGGTTTTTTGTTGTTTTTTTTTTTAGTGGGGAAACTCAAGATTTTACATAGGATTTTTCTGTCCTTTCCACTTTTGATTCAGATCCCTTTATGAACCACATGATAAGAATATGCTCTCCTTGGCTTTAAGAAGACAGATGCCTCTAGTTCTATACCAGAGGACCCAGATTGCTGCTTGCTCTGAGCAGCTCAGCTGTAAATTTTCCATGCTTTGTGGCTGTGTCTGCCTGTGCCCTGGTTTGTCCTTGGAAGACAGAGCATATGTATGAAGCAAGTGTGTTGCAATGGGACATGTAGGTGCAGCTGTTACAAAGGCAAAGAGAACACACCAGCTGTCCTCAGATGGTGCTTTTGCCCTTTTTGCCTTGTCCAGCTAGTGGCTTGGCTGATCTGAGGGACAGCATCAGAACAGCCTGCTGAGATGCTAAACTGTGTTAAGTCATTTGTGAGGAAGTGTGAAAGAAAATTGGCTTAATGAAAAGCTGAGGAATATTTGCCTTTATGATTTTAATAGATCAAGACTTCTTTCATGAATAAAAATAATTTCAAGGATGTTTCCCATGAGACACTGGACAGTGGATTTGGGCAATGGGAGAGACACATTTCCTGCTCCTTTGAACTTTCCTTGTTTCACTGCTGTTTCCCATTCTATCTTTCAGAGAACAGTTTTTGAGAGCTTATCATTCACAGGGGAAGACTCATGTTCCTGAGCGATGCCTGGTCTGAAGGATCTTTGACATTTTTCCTACAGTTGCTTCTTAAGATTTTTCTTTTACCTAGATTGCTTGTGCTTGATATGGAATGTCTGCATGGGTTTGTTCCATCTAGATCACTATCCCAGTCTGTCATGTGCCAGGGCAAAGACTGTACTGTTTTTTTCCAAAATATTATTTCCTGCCTACTTCTGTCCTTGTGCTACTGGATCCAATTCTACCTGACAGCTGTGATGTCAATGACATCACCCCAGGAAACTCTACCCCAGGAAAGTCTCTATTGCTTTGAGTTCTTCATTACTGGATTAAGAATAATGGCCATTTGATTAAGAACAATGAATATTTTTAGTTTCATTATGGCAGTAAGTGCTGCTTCTGTAGTTTCTGTTCTCCTTCACTTTCTAATTTTTTGTGAAGTTTCCCATATTTTTGATGAAGGCTTCAAAGAGTATTTTTCACAAAGAATGGCTTCCAACCTAATTTCCCCTTCCCAAAGAAAAATTCCTTTCTTCTGGCATGAATTAATTAAATACTAACCAATTACAAGAGTCACTGATGTTTTGGAAAAAATCCATGAAATCAGAAACAGGAAAATTGTGCCTGTTTTTGATTCTTTGGATAGCTCTGAGAAGCATTTCTTTTTTCATATTTTATTAGATAGAAAAAAGCTGAAATAAACAAAGTGGCATAGGTTGACTTACCAGATGTACCAAGTCTAAAATAAAGATCTTACCATCTTCTTTGTATCAGAACTTGTCCTTTAATGTTGAGCTTATACCTGTACTTACTGGTTTACAGTACTGCTTGTACAACTGCTTCAGTACTCTCATCTGACTTGACAGAGAGCTCTTTACATTTCAAACTGTTTAAGTTGTATTTAGGGAGAAATGGACAGCACTTGTAAACACTCTTTTTATAGGAATTTCAAATTCCTGTGATGATTCAAATGATTCAAATTCTAGCTCTCTACCTTCACAAGAGCATGACAAAGTCCTACAGAAAATATGAAGTGCATAAAGCAGAAGAAGGAATGACTCTTTGAAACCTGAGGTCACCATGGTTTCCTTTCAGACAGATCTTTAAAGGATGCTCACAAAACGTTTGTGAGTTAAATCAGCTCACTTAGAGAAAGATCGTTTTGTTTCTTTTTCTTAAGTCATGTGTCCTCAGAGGTCCCTCCAAGATTAACCAGCAAACAGCTACAGCTGGGGAAGAGAGTGACTATGAGAATAGTGTGAGCTCACTAACGGAGAAACTTTAACAACAAAAAGAGGGAAATGCTGACTTGTATGGAATGCCATGTGTCATCCCATGTCTGTCCCCACAAAGTTAAAACTGCAGGGAGTCAAACAAAAGAAGGGTTAGTTATCATGGACTGGCAGAAAGCTGACAGATTTTGTGATTCCTAACACTCTGGCTTCCTGGAGGAGGGATTGAAGGCTGTCTAATTATGATACAATAATGAACTTAGGACAAGACATGCAAAAAGTTAAAATATCTTCTTTATAATCTGTATGTCCTTTGTGTGCTTCTTTTGTGCTTGTTCCCATTTGGTGCAAATGTCTGTTATAACTCTCATACTGGCAGAGAAAATGCACTTTAAACCTTCAAGCCTTATGAAGAATAAAATTGCCTCTTTGAGATGAGACACGCTAAGTGCACCACTTGCTCCAAAGTGGCAAAAATAATGAGCAGATACTGAAGTACTCAGGATTGCTATACACTCTTCCAGCAGTTGCATATTCCCAGGAGTTAAAATTGCATGTACATCATATGGGAAATTTGTAACATGGATTTCCAGGTATAGGGAAGGAGATTCACTAGTAAATACTATCTGCCAAACAGAAGAAAAACGGGAAGATGTCTCATAATTTCCATTGCAAGTCAGTGGAGGGGACTGAGAGCAGGACAGATTAGAGAGATGTCTGAAGAAAAAGAAAAGCTTTTGATCAGCCTATGAATGAGGATTTGAAGGGAAGCTTGTATTGCTTCTACATCAATCTGGATAGATATCTCAATGAAAAATTGGTCAGTTGTCTTAATTTTAATCAAAGAAAATCCAAGTGGTTTATTGATTCATTAAACACACATAATTAGTGAGGAAATGATCCATTCAGAATCCAGACTCGAGCTTCTGTAGAAGCTTTTAAAAGTATGTAGTGATGAAAGGAAGGCCAGTAAAAATGTGGGCCCAGTGTTGAATGAAGTGGGAGTCCTGTTGAGACTGAACATTGCAAAACACAAGTACTTAATGCCCTCTTTTCCTCAGACTGCACTGGCGAGACTGGCCTTCAGGAATCCCAGAGGCCTCCAGGTAAAGTCTGGAGGAAAGAACATGTCAAAAAGTGATCAGGTCAGGGAACACTTATGCAAACTACAAAGATAAATCCATGAATCCTAGTGTGATATACCTGCAAAAACTGGGGAAGTTGTCACAGTACTGTTGAGACCACACCAGCGCTGGAATTGGGTTCCAGTTGTGGTATCACCAGTACAAGGGAGGCACGGACATATTGGGAGGGTCCAGCAAAGCACCACTATGGCATTAAGGGACCGGTGCATTTCTCATGTGAGGAAAGATTTAGAAAGCTGAGACCGTACAGCTGGGAAAAGAGATGGTTCAGGAGGGAATCTTACCAATGCATGCAGAGACCAGAAGGGAGGTTGAAAAGCAGTGAAGCCAAGCTCTTCTCAATGTTGTCTGGTGAGAGGCAGTGGATACTAAATGAAACACAAAAGGTTCTTTCTAAATACCACGAAATATTTTTTTTTCTGTAGGTGTGGTAAAACATTGGCACAGGTCACACAGAGAGACTGTGTATTATGCCTCTTCGGAAATCTTCAAAAGCCACTTGACATGGTCCTGGGCAATTGACTCTTCCTGGCCCTGCTTGAGAAGAGGGATTTGGACCAGATGACCTCCAGAGATGTGTTCCAGCCTCGGCCATCCTGTGAGTCTGTGATACTGTTATCAGCATCACAACAGATAAACTACTAAATGTGTGTAAACACTTTGCAGCCTCCAAAATAAGAACCTCCAAAAGCCCTCGCCTCCTCCACATTCACACAGTTACGTGCAGTTCCCTTCTGCACTTTGAAATGTGAATTTCATGCATTTCTCTTTCTTGGCAATGTGATTCTCCTACCATAGTGCTCCTCTGTGCCACAGGAGATAGAGACACTTAATGTTCAGAAGGGCTTAGGCTGCTCTGTGAAGTCCACATATCCTGCTCTAGTGGGAAAGGTGTCATGTGGTCCCTGTGCATTCCCAGCAAGGGTTGCATGCCCTTGAGCCCCAGCCAGCTGGAGTGCAGCTGCTGGCAGTGGGGAGGGAGATGTTCCAGGCTGTGGAGATGCCTTTGTCTGTGACGGACTGTGTGACACCAGCAGTGCTGTTTCTTACAGTGCCAAATTTGCCTGACTGCTGCTCCAACCTCACTGCTCCCCTCCAGGGGTGCTCCCCATCACCACAGTTCCATGCTCCTTTTCTGTTTTTCTATATGACTGCTTATTAATCTCCTGCTTATGGTTTTGTCTGTCTGAAGGTCAAACTTCTCTTCAACACTATCAGCTGGGGCTCAAGACATGTCAGGCAATTTTGAGTGTGTCACGCACACAGTTTACACCCAAGTTTGCAGGTTACCCCTTTTGCTAGGGTGGTGTGTGTCACCCTGAAAATTAAGCCTTCTGATTTTGTTTTTCATAATTGTAGCTGCTTTCCCAGGAAAGTAACTGTAAATATAGATGTTTATGCATTCCTTCTAAGAAACATCTGGTGATGGATATTTCGCATGACCAGTGTGCTTGGGAAGGTGGTAACTTAATTATCCAATCCCTGGTCGTTGCCGAGAATCTATAAATACTGGAGTTAAGAATAAAGTCACGAGTTTTTGTTCTAACGCTGACGGTAGTAGTGTGAATCATTTTGTGTCCTCTAGCGACAGGTGTGTGGTGGGGTGTGATCCATTCTCACAGGAAAAAAACATACAGAAGATGGGGCAGACTTTTTCTGGACTGTGAGAAAATAAAGTATGATGGCCATAAATACACAGGAAACCCTCATCTGACATGTGGAAAAACTCATTTCTCTTGACAGCTGTGCACCCCACAAGAGAGCTGGGGAGATCCTTGAAGATATCTAAACTTTTACTGGAGGAGTTCCTTAGCAAGCTTATCTAGCTGACCCTGCTTTAAGCAAAAGGAGAGTACTGGAAAGTGCTAGAAGTCTCTACCAGTCTACGTTTTTGTGTAAATGGCAAACCTGTGGAAAATGTCAATGTTGTGAAATATTATTCTACAGAAATAATAGTGAGGGGTCAAAATATTTTGATTCTTCTTAAAAAGAAGATTCTCAGCATTTCATTTTAGAATTGATGAAATATTTGGATTTGCTTTGAACAGAGAACTCGTACTGTCAGACTCCTCTCTGTGCAATGCTGCCAAAACACCCAATTCTGCAATTCTGCAAAGAAAGGTTCCCAAGACAAATATATGCCTTTTTCTCAGAGTAAGCTATCCATAATCTAGGTGGAGAACTCAAATCAGACAATGTAAGACAGACAGGGCAGAGTAACAAGCAAACTAAAGGTCCAAGGAATTGTCATACTCATAAAAAACAAACAGAGCAAACAGAACTGGCTAAAACAGAACAAAATTTGGCTTGCTGAAGCAATCCAGAACATTTTTATCTTGCTTGGAGCTCTATGTAAGAGAAAAAGTTTTTTTTCTTTTTGAAAGACAGTTGATAAAAAAATAATGTTTTCTGAATAATTACAATGTTTTTTTTCACTTTCCTTGACAGAAAAAGTCCTGAGTGTATCCTGCAGTATATATATCACTCTCTTACAGTGCTTATTAATGTGTCATAATTTTAAGAGCTCAAGTGCATTTTAAATGTCTAACAAGAAATGTTAAAATATCTTCATCAGACTGCATAATAGACGCAATGTGCTGGGCTTCCCGATCATTATTAATGCCTTCAGAAGAGTTGTGACCTGGTGTCAGACTAGATATGTCAACACATAAAATTTTCATGTGTTTTTAAAGCTGAAATTAAAAAATAGAAAAACTTACTAAGCTTCTAAAAGCATTAATTAATACTGAATGTCTCACAGTACTGGAAGACCTCGGAAATTGCCACTTGACATAAATGCAAGCCAGTGTGAAGAGCAATGCCCCTGTCAGAGAAGGCATATATGTTAAATGTAATCTGCAAGGAATTTAATCCTCCTAAGTCCCTTCTAAAATGTTTTTCAGGATTTGAAAGTAAAAATTTGATGTGTCCTTGTGTCAAATTAAAAAAAGAATCACTTTCCCTTTCTGAAATCTCCAAAAGTATTTCACAAAAATCAATTCCTGCTGCCAAGTGATAAGTTATTATGGAGTGGGTTTTTTTGCTTTGCTGGTTGTCTTTTTCCCTGCTAGTTTATTTTTGTTTGTGTGAGGTTTTTTTTGTTGTTTTTTTTTTTGAAAAAGCACTTATTTATTCATCTTTATTGTATTGAAAGTTTTGCTTGCAGTAAGAAATGGCTTTAAGATTCTTCATTCTCTCTTCTAAACCATGAAGTCAATCTTTGGTGCAATGAGTACTAGCCATACCATAAGAAGATGATGTTTGTTTCACAGAAATTCAGCACATTTGCTATGCATGGATCTCTGTGATGCTTTGAATCTGCTAGATATCTTTTCAGTAATGGAACTGAACCAGAATTTTCTATTTATGGGGAAAGTCACTGTTACAGAAAACCTCTGACTCACACCAAAACAAAACAGAATTTTTAGCTCAACATGTTGATGTTTTGCTTTCTCTCTTTTAGGATGCATTCTTAGAGAATTTAGAGTTGCCCACAAAAGATTTCTGTATAATTTCATGTATATGAAATTATACAGAATTAATTACTCCAGCATTTCAGTAAGAACAACAGTATTTTTCTGAATGTCTGCTGAACTGTCTTCATTTACATTATGAGAAAGGTGTACTGGTTTTCTAAGATACTTTCTCCCTTCCTAACTTCCCTGAGAAGAGAAATTCCTGTATACTAGGAGTTTGGGACAATTGCAAAGGAAGACTTAAGGCAATCCTCTCAAACATTAAGACCCTGTCAGCTGAAGTCTTCTATGAAGAGAAAGCAATCTAGGTGTGGTGTGTTGTGCTTGTGTAACTTCATGTGTGTCTATCATTATCCTTCTCTCTCCCTCTTCTCCCTCCCTCTTCTTCCTCCCTCCCTCTTGTTCTTTATACTTTCACCTCTATCCTTCCTGTCAGATAAGCCTGTATGTCTCTCTGAACCTGTATTTACTCGGTGTGTGTTCATAGGTGTATGTGTCTGCTCTTCTTTGAACAGAAGCACAAGAGCAAACCTGGTCCTGAAGACCAATTTCTGTTGCCAGGGTATGCTCTGGTTTCCTGTTTCCTTGGGTCCTGACTATGTATTTTCTTGTTCTGAAGGTTTATACATTATCTAGCACAGACACTGCATGTCAGTGGCTTTGAAGAGATAATGATATCCTAAATGTTAGGCAGCCTGGACTAAAGTACTATCTTTTTTAGCAACATTTACAGATTATTCTAGGACACACTGTATTTTGTATTTGAGGCTTGTCATGTTTTCAGACCAGTGTTTAATGCTGGCTGTCCCAAAGACGATGATGAAGTAAGTGTGAGCTGAAGGTTACACTCTGGCTGCCTTGTGGAAGAAGAGGGCTTTCTTCTACACTGCTCATTATCAAGGGCCCTAGAATGTCCTGTTGTAGTGCAGACAGCAATACTAGTCTGGCCTTTCCACACTGAATATACCTCACACCTTCTGGGCATTCTCTGGTTAAAGACTTTTGGAGAAAGTTTATTTTTAGTGGTCTGTCATCTTTTAGGAAATTTACAAGCAGATAATTTACAAGGTGTGGCACAGGCCTAGAGGACCCAGTGGAACTTGATGTTGCCTCTAGACTAGTACCACCAAAATGGAAAGAACAAAACTGTTCTGCTTTGATCGTGCTGTGACAATCTTGCAAAGAGACAAACCTGGCAGACTTTGTACAGTTGGGCAACAGCTCCATTTCTGCATAGGGAAACACATGGTTCATACCCAGGCTTGGTGGCGTAGCCATGGAACTAGATCCTTTACAGAACATCCAGTAAGCCTGATGCACGCACATCTTGTACCTTGCTGGAACTAGGTCCTTTTCTGAGGTGCTAGAGAAATGCAGGATATAGAGGGGTCCTGAAGCTAGAGGTGATTTTTTTTCCTGAAATGCATGCTCATTTTAACAAGTCTGTAAATGCACAGAAATTTACAGAAATTTAGAAAAAGAAGTGGATCTATTTTTGGCCTTTTGTGCCAAGAAACCCTAAGGCTGTTCAGATGCTCTTTTATCTTCTCTCTTGCGTGACTAGCTAATGGTTCTTACAAGGTCACTTAGAAGTGGAAAGCAGCTGTGCTTCTCTTGGCTAAGCACTGAGACATCCTGAAAGAGACATGCAGGTTTTGTTAGTGGAAAGAGGAAAGACTCCACTGGAAAATGGACACAAGAAATGCATGAATCCCCAGAAGAATATCTAAACAACTCCATAGATTCTGATTCAGGTAGTTGAAAGATTTCCAAAATTGCATAATCATTTCAGTATATGACAACTATGGAGGAAAACAAAGGTACCAAAAAAAGGTCTACTGCTGTACAGTTTTTTTTTTTGATACCTCATCAACTAGCTGTGACTTGTTCTATAATCTAATGCTCTGCCTAATTTCTCTTTCTGCAGAAAAAGATGGATCTCATGTCTGAGGAGAACTCTGTTGTTAGTCTCAGGCTGTTGTACTTTGTAGCTCCAAAAGAATGCAAATTTTCTTGGCAATTTAAAGGCAAATAATGAATGTAAATATAGAAAATCCATTCAACAGACATAATTTCATAACATAATAAATATCAAAGGTAAGTACATTTGATAACATTTAGTCAAGTGACTTACCTCTATTATGCATCTTCAGGAACAGAACATGAGTAAATGTGACCTGTGAAAGGCTGTATTGAAAAACCCAGCCATACTGGGACAGGAAGGCATACTCAACCTGATGTCCATGTACACACAGCAGCAAAAATGTCCTTGTAGATACCAAAATTGTTTCAGTGACTGGTTTACTGGGAGTTGAGGAAACTGGATGATGTCTGGAGAAAGAGAGGCAGAATGTATTATTTCCTGTGTATTGTGAGTGGGAACTTATTTTGAGATCTTGAAATCTAGTGATGGTCTTTAGGCTATTAAACCCCTTTGCTCAGTATTTGTGGTAATTTTGTTTGAAAAATCAGTTTCAGGATGTAAGACCAGTCCTGATTTTTTTTCTCCTCTATGTATATTTGACTTAAAGCAGATAAGATAAATAAAAGCAGATTTTAAAAGATGTACTACAGTCTTCTAATTAATTTCAATTTCTGTTGAAGCATAACGACCTAATAGCATAAATAAAAACCTGTTTCGTGTTAAGAAAAATATGCATCATTTGCTAAATAAAATGAAGGTTTTCTTTCCATATGTTACATAATTGCCATAGCTTCCTGATTACCAACAATTCAATAAAATTGAAAAAAAAAGAGATCCCAAGCACATATTTCAAAAGCTAACAACTGTTTTTAAAATCAGCAGGGTAAGGGAGGGATTCTTCCCCTCTGCTCTGCTCTGGTGAGACCTCA